CATGGTGGCCTTAAGGGCCGACACACTCTTCCATTTACGGTCACCAATTTTAAGGATCAATGACTCAGTCCTACGGGCCAGATTCTTATCTTCGAACCTTTCTCGAAGAGCTCTGAAGAAGTCTTCGAACCGTGTCTGTTGAGAATACTGAATCATGGTTGTGCAGCCAGCCTCTTTCATTAGAGAGATAACGAAGCTCATTGCGTCCCCTGCCATGCATGAACTTGCCATTAGCACACGGTCCCAGTACGGAATCTTTTGTGCGTACAAGTATGTGTCCATAGCCGCCTCCTTGTGGAAAATGCCTCTTCTTTCTTCCCCGTATAGGTCCAAGGCAACTTTACCTTCATCTTTTGTCTGGACTCCTTCGCGTCTCCATCCTTCTCTTTCTTGACACCCTTTCCTCTCCTGTCCCCATCATTTCCATCATTGCCTCCATCTCCTCCCCCGCCTCCAATCTTCAACTTTCTTACTACGCCAGGGTCGGTTATTTTTTTGGTGAGGGCTTCATCTAGCTGCTTTAAATATCCAAAGATTCGGTCATCTACTTGGTGAGAGGCGGTGCACAGGAAGTTATTCCAAGTTCCCTCAAACTCTCCCTGATGGAACTCTAATTTACTGACGAATCGATGGAGGGCAGCGAGTTCTTCGTTAGTGTGGAGGAGGGTGTCAGTCGAGAGCTAACCGTTCGTCTGTGGCAGCTTGCTTTCCCTTCTGTTCCTTCAACAGTGCTTGCAACCTCTCCCCCTCCTCCTCCATCTTTTTTTTATCATTATATTCCTGTCTTTTTGCAGCCACCAACTTGTTGTCGAGTTCGGTCCTCTTCTCTTTTATCAACAAGTCCCTCTCTTCCTGATCTGCCGCTGATGCCATCTTAATCACAAAGGCATTTTTCTCTTCCTCAGTTTCTTCCTGCATCTCCGTTTGATACCCGAACTGTCCCATCCAATCCATCGCCTCCATCTGCAACAACCTGCCTTCCCCAGCATGGCTGCTTTCAGCCTTTTCTCTTCCTGGGGCTGGGTTCTCCTCCTTCCCAGTCTGTCTCCCACATCTTCTTCTTCTTCTTCTTCTTCCAATTCCTCCATCATCTTTCTCTCTTTCTCATGGCTACTCCGGACCCGGACCCGGACATTTCCGAACATGGAACCGGACCCGTGTCTGGTAGTTTCCGGACGTCCGGAATTCCGGACATTTCCGGACCTCCGGACATGGGAGGATCTAGATGGTCCGGATGTCTGGACACGTCCGGAAATGTCCGGACCAATAAAAAAAAATAAAAATAAAAAAATCTGAAAAAAAGGTATATTATGCAGTATAACAATGCAAACCACTTTTGCCTCATGTCAGAATTCCTAACCAAACTTGAGTTAAAAGTCAAAAACTATAAAAAACTTTAAAAAAGACTTCAAAAACTAATAAAAGGTAATGAATTATTAATTGGGGCTGTCTAATAAATTATTATAGAGAGAGATCATGTCCGGACGCCCAAAAAAAGCATAAACGGGCCTGAAACCCCCCCCAAACAATTTTGGGGGCTTGGCTCCTCAATGGGGAAGGGTCTTGGACCATTTTTATTATTTTTTTCCCTCGAAATTTGTCAGATCCGGACCTTCCAGACCAGACGTCTGGAGTCCGGACTGAATCCAGACCGTTTGGACGGCGGTCAGGACGTCCGGATCGTAGCCATGCTCTTTCTCCTTCATCTCTTTCTCCATCTTTTCTTTTTCTTCCAACAGCTTTTTCTTCACTTCCTCCTCCTCCTCCTTTTTCTTTTCCTCCTTTTCTTTTTTCTTCTCTGCCAAGCGGCGGTCTATCTCTGTCTGTTCCTCAACTATCTGGGCCTGCGTTGACTTCCCAGACCTTAGCATCATATGGGAGAAGAGGGTTCGCTGGAAGCCAAGAGGAAAGAATAAGCGAAGTAGGGGTCCTCATAGCACAGACAGGGACAGGAGTGTGAACATGGGATAATTGTCCATGGTGATCAAAGGCACAGGTACCTACCCTCCACCTCCTCACCACTTAGATCTTACCCAACTACTAATTACTAACTCCTGAGTGGGTCTGACTGTTGCTGACTGTCGTATACCTTCCCAGAACTATGTATATATGTTTTTGTTTTTGTTTTTTTCACGAGTGGACTGGTTGCTAGACTCAACTATGTCACGAGATTTGGACCAGCCCAGCAGCAGCGACAATAGGATGAGGAAGGTACCAACACTAAGACAGATCAGCAAGCAATACAGGTTTAATGAGGGGATGCACTTCACTCCGATGAACGTTCCGTTGATGAAGCTCCACGGCCGCTCCAACGCAGCAGCAATCAGGTACGTATTCACCACTCGATCAGGCCCCCCTTCCTCGGCCTACTTCTCTACCCCCTTCGTCAGTCTTCTCCCCATTCAACTCACTCTCATATCACCCTTCTCGCCGACCTTGATTGTTTCCAGCGATGTTCAGTGGATGTAACGAGCAACTGCTCCGATACCAGTTTGCAATGAACCTCTTACTTCAACACCAGTGAGCGCACATATCCACACCACATGCATGTATGAGATCACACAAAGTTCACACTGGAGACCAGAGAGATTAAGACCAGGTAGCGCAGCTTATGAATTCCAACAAGTCATTACAAGAGCAATAAGAGTTCCAAGTCACCAGTACTCGTCAGCGCATGTCAAAGGTAACCAACAACCGGCATAAGCTCTCAGGTAAGTATCACTTCCCCCACTGCTCTTCTCTCCTATGTATCTCCCCTCCTTGCTGGTCTTCTCCCTAGCTATATCCTCGCTGCGACTTCTCTCCCTACACGCGTGCACACACACTAACTTCTACTCAAGAATCTACTCTGAATACACCCCCTGATATGCCTACTAACCATCTAAAGTCTACTACTAACACTCTGCACTGGCGCAGCTATGGCTGCCTTCTCCCGGCCAGTGCAATCTCTTCCTCTCTCTCTCTCTCTCTCTCTCTCTCTCTCTCTCTCTCTCTCTCTCTCTCTCTCTCT